CCGCAACTCGACACCCAGTGCCTATTTTGCGTAGGGATTGGCATCAGTCCTGCCATCCCAGCTCCTCCAAAAAGCTCAGCAGTCCCCGGATGTTGCTGCAGGCTTCTACTAGTGTCCGCGGGCTTCCTATTAGAGAAGTCCTTTGTCTTGCAACGCCTCTGCACTCCAGCAGAACATGGGCGCTCGTCTCCTCTTCCTCCAAGCAGGCTCTGCACAGAGGGCTGTCAGAAATACCTATATTATAAAGGTGTTTGTTGAAGTAGCCGTGACCCGTGAGTATACCCACGATTTGTTTCAGGGCTTGTCTAGGTAGTCGGATTAACTTACGTGATAGCTGCTGGTTTACCTTAGGAACGGCTTCCCTAGCTTGCCTGCAGTCAGTATGTTTTGCCCAATATTCATCGTGTTGTCGTTGACAGCGCTCCCTTATCCAGGTTCTCAGCTGTCGATAAGGTATGGGTACAATTGGCTCCGGGCCAATGGCCGTCCTGCCTGCTGGACCCCTCTCTAGCCAGGCAGTCAGCCGCATCGTTACCCCTTGAGCCGCTGTGTCCCTTAATCCATTGTAAGGTCAGTCTATTGTCATTGCAAATATTGGATAACTTACAGTGGCATTCGTAAATTAACCCTGATGTCATTATATTGTTGTCTAGTGCCTGTAGGACAGAAGCGCTGTCAGAGAGAATACGAATATGTTTTCCTCTTACCCCGCGGCAGTCTATAGCCTCTGCTGCTCTAATGATGCCCACACACTCTGCCTGGAAGACTGTGTTATGTGCTCCCAATGCTGTTGAGATGTGTATATTTAGGTCTTCGGAGAAGACACCCGAACCTGTCCCGCAGTTGGTTTTTGAACCATCCGTGTAGACCCTTAGCTCCTTGTGCAAACAGCGGTCCGGAGTGTCTTCAAACAGTTGTATTTTATATTTTTTGTCAAATACGTACGTCTTAGGAATAAGGTTGTTTACTACTGCAAAGTACGGAAAGTGCCTGTGTATGTCTGCTAAGATACTGGTATGTGGAGAGTTGTTGTCCCTCCATAGCCCCAGCATGCTTAGGCGAGTCGCTGTACAAGCAGCCTCCTGTTGTATAAATAAATGGAGTGGTCTCACATTAAGTATAGTCTCCAGTGCTGATGTGGGAGAGGTTTTCATGCAGCCGGTGATTGCACAGCAGGCTCGCCTCTGGAGACGTCTTAACTTATTTGTTGTCGTTACCTGGATTGTCTTGGTCCACCATACTACTGCTGCATAGCTGATGATGGGCCTAATTATTGTCGTGTACAGCCACCTGACAATGAACGGTGCTAGTCCCCAAGTTTTGCTAATCATTTTCCGTCACTGCCAGAAAATGATGTTGGTCTTCGTAGTAGTTTTGTCTATGTGTGATCCCCAGTTCAGTTTAGGGTCTAGGGTTACTCCTAGATACTTTACCTCATTGGAGAGAGTGAGTGTCGTGTTTAAGAGTTTCGGTAGCCGATAGTCACCTAAGGATCTTTTGTTCGTGAACATTACCAGTTCTGTCTTCACCGGATTCACCTTGAGGCCATAGTCGTCACACCATTTTTCAACCACCTTCAATGCTCCCCTTGTAACATCACAGGCGGTGCTCGCAGACTTACCCGGGACCATGATTGCCAGGTCGTCCGCGTAGCCCACCGTGTGGAAGTGAAGGTTGTTTAGTTTGGTGATTAAGTCGTTTACGACTACATTCCACAGAAGAGGCGATAGTACTCCTCCTTGAGGACATCCTTTAGTCGCCAATGCTCTGAGATGGTTGTCGTTCTGTAGTTTGATTAGTCTGTTACGGAGCATGTTGCTTACCCAGTATATGATGGTCTCGTCTACTCCGTGTTTGCCGAGTGCGTCTACAATACTGGCGAAACATGTTTTGTCAAACGCCCCTTCTATGTCTATAAAGGTGCCCAAACATAGATCTTTCCGTCTGAGACAATCCTCTATTTTACTTACGACTGCATGTAGTGCAGATTCTGTCGACTTGCCTGGACTATAGGCGTGTTGGTTCGGATGTAATGGAATATTGACTAGTTGGTTGTCTCTCAGCTCTCTGTCGCACAATCTTTCTAGAGTCTTTAATAAAAATGATGAGAGACTTATCGGTCTGAAAGATTTCGCCTCGTTGTAGTCTGCCTTACCTGGCTTTGGTATAAAGATTACCTTGACCTCCCTCCAGAGCCTCGGCGTGTATCTAAATGCAAGACACGCTCTCAGGAGGGGCACCAGGATAAGCGCTTCACCTGCCCAGTGGAGCAGCGCCGGAAAGATGCCATCTGGTCCGGCTGCCTTGAATGGTTGGAAGCTGTTAATGGCCCACCTTAACTTGTCTGTAGACACTGTCCTCAATGCAGTGTTCCAGGATTGTTCCGTGGGGGTCAAGCTAGTGTCATTCCAAGTATGTGTCGTGTGTATGATGCAGCCCGGGAAGTGGGTTTCAAGTAGTACCCTCTGTGCCTCCTCAGTTGTTTCTGTGAGGGAGCCATCAGCCTTCCGAAGCTGCGCTAGTTCTTGCTGCTTGTCTTTAGATAGTAGTTTCCTTACCTTGTTTGCCTTTGTGCATGAGTCTATTTCTGAACAAAATTTTCTCCAAGACCCATTGCTCCAGTGTCGAATGCATCTTTTGTAAAGTGCCTTGGCATCTTTGTACGCGTCCCAGTCCTGGTCGTCACATGTATTCATGGCCCTGTTAAAAAGTCTTCTTACCTTTTTTCTCAGTTTTTCCAGCTCGGGACCCCACCAAGACTTGCTGGCATCCGAGCTGGATGATGGCGTACTGAGAGGACAGGCTGTTTGATAGCATGAGATGATTACTCTTGTTAATTCCTCAGCTGTTTCGTCTATCTTATCAGTTTCGTTCAAACTTTCAGGCTGCATATGTCGCAGTGACCGAGTTACCTGTTTGCGATACTGGCTTCTGTTTGTTTTGCTAGGTATGCGTCTGGGTGGCTGGGTAACACGCTGTACCGCGATGTTGAACCTAATCCACCTGTGGTCAGAGCAGGATGCCTCTGGGGACACGTGCCATTCAGAGATTAGTTCCGTTGCTCTCCTTGATGCAAGTGTAAGGTCGATGATGGATCTGCCTCTTCTTGTTACAAAAGTAGGTTCAGATCCTGTGTTTATTATATTAAGGTTAGTGGTAAATAGGTAATCTACTAATTCCTCACCTCGTTTGTTGCTTTTCGTCATACCCCACAATTGGTGGTGGGCGTTGGAGTCGGTGCCGATGATCAGCGCCTTGTCTGTTTGTTCGCAGTGTCTCACCAGCTCAGCCAGTTCCCCTGACGGAGTCTCCTCTCCTTCAGGCATGTAGGCAGAGGCAACTACCAGGACAGGTACACTTGGATTTTGCTGTTATATTATTTGGATTGTTGTTATGTCGCTAGAACAAAATTGTGTCATTATTTTTGCCTGTAGGTGTTTTGAACATACTATGCAGGTCCGCGGTGCGCGGTTACCTGGGTTGTAAAAATTCTTACCACCGGTGTTGTTGAGGCCACATATGATGTTGGATCTGATCCACGGCTCCTGGACCAGAGCAATAGCCCCGTCGTTGTTGTCCTCCAGCCACTTCCTGAGTTGAGCCGTTGCGGTGCGACTGTGCTGGAGGTTAGTCTGCAGGACTTTGACTTTACTCGGTGGAGGCGCCATCGGACGCAAGCAAAACATCGACATCCACCTCCTGCCCGATGTCGATTCCACCCAGTTTGTCTGCCCATTCGTCGATGACATCCGCTGCTCCTTGCTCACCCAAAATGGGATCCGCCGGAGACGGAGTCACTGTCACCTGCTTCTGGTCGGGCGTGGATGCTGCTATGCCCCCTGATGTGCTCGGCGACGGAGCAGATGTTGGTGGCTCTAAAGGCGGCAGGCTCTCCAGGTATTGACCGCCCTGGTTCCTGAACCTAACGTACACCGAACCCATCAGGTAGCACAGTCTCCTTCCTCTCTCCAGAAGCTTCTCTGCAACGTCCCTGGTGGTGCTGAACACCAGGAACGTGTTGTCATCACCTGCGATGGCCTTATGCAGTAACCATCGGTCGACGTCTGCTTGTTTATTCTTGAACCATAATAACGTATCAAAAGAAATGGTCGTACTACAATATTACCACGATTACATACCTGTCATAGATGCTGTTCGCCCATAAACATCATCCAAATCCCACAAAATTCGTCCAGCTTGGTAGTCTTCGAAACATCGCTGGAAAACTTTAAAAATCACTTCCCGCGTGCCACTCCGATTTACTTTACTCATTTTTATACCTTTCTGCGTAGTTTCGTCTTAATTTATTACAGTTTAATACAAACAATAAAAAATACAAAAGGAAAACTGTTCCACAACTGCACAGACCAATAAGAGAACAAGTTCACAACTGAAACTCGATGACAGCTGATGTACATAAGTTTGGTGTTGCCAGACACAGGAATAATGTTAGTTCCTCAAACATTCATGTCACGACTTTATAGACAAACTGTAGTTCTGCCTTTAGTTTAATATTTGGTGTGAGTGTTGGAAATATTTATTTATTTTTGCAGTCGTCCTTTTTGTCTAAAAATCGTCCCTTTTCAGATTTCGAATCGTCCGAAACACGAAGCAGGTACTGGCAACACTGCTCATTACTTTACTTGATTACCTACTTGCTCAGTGGCCCGTTCTTGGTTTTCGCTGTTGCCGACTAAGGTTATTCGGATTTAGTGAATATCCTGTGTATGTTAAATGATACTTATAACATTAAACTGTAGATATGGCTTTACTGACGCCCTATTTATCTCTTAGCTTTATTTTCTACTAATTGTTTCAAGCAGCTCAACATATGGTACCATATTTTTTTGTCATTTTTTACCTTTCATAGATAAAAACAACAGACAAGCCCTTACCGGACAAACCTGGACAAGTTTGGACCATCACAGAAGAAATCAAAATTTCTTTTCTTTCTCCAATAGTTTTGCATACTTAGATGTCACTATCTATTAAAACAAACAATGTGTGCGAAATCTGAAAACTCAGTAAGAGATATAATAATAGATTGTTTAACCCAGCAATTAAGTGAATTTGAGCTTTTGAAATCTATGTATTCAATAGACAGTGAAATAGTATTAACTGACAATACTTCAATCGACAATATGAGGACCTTTTTGAAAAATGAATCTGAATATACACCAAACCATTTAGATTTTATTATTAATATCTTGGTTAGTGGTATGAAATTAGAAATATGTATAAATTTACCCACATTGTACCCAAATGAAGAGCCAGATATTTATGTAAGGTGTAATAAATTTAACCGATATCAAGAATCTAAAATAAATTCAGATTTATCTCATTATATTAAGAGTAATCATCTGGGTGAAGTATGCATATATACAGCAATATCCTGGCTGCAAGACAATACGGATGCTTATCAAGAGAAAAATGAAGACAATGATTTTAATGAAAAAGCTGATGAACTAAATTTAAATGAAAATAAATTTTTAAGAATGTGGATATATTCACATCATATTTATAACACCAAAAAACGTGATGAAATAGTAAAAAAGGCAAAAGAGTTAAAATTAACAGGGTTTTGTATGCCTGGCAAACCTGGTATTGTATGCATCGAGGGCATAGACTCTTCTTGTAATGAATGGTGGAAAGACATTAAATCAATGAACTGGAAAAAAATAACAATAAAAAAAACAGAACTGTTTGATATAGCTGAACAAAAATTGCAACAGAAATTTTATAACTTTGAGGAATTGTTTTTTAAGCATTCCTCAAATAAGATGAGTAAACATTGTGATATGGGTGAATTCTCTAAATTTATGGAAAAACATGGGTTGAGTCAAGTATTCAAAGATATCTTTGGTTTTGATAACCACAACTGATACATGAATAAAAGTAGATTTAGCGAAAATCTTCGTTTTATCAATCCATAAATTTATTTTCTTTCTTTTTTCCATACTAATCCATATCCATACTAATATTATTAATGCAAAAATTGTGTCTGTTACTTCTTCACAATAATACTGCTGAACCAATTGAGCTTAAATGGTATAGAGAAATTGTAAGTCCTGAGAAAGGGCATAATTATGTATTATACTTTTTGACTGGGGAAAAATTAGGTTCCAGGGAACCTCAAAAATGTAAATATAAAACTTTATAAACAATAGCTGTCTTATTCATAAAAAGATAAAATAGGTTTATTAGCTTGTTATAATGAGAATCCCGAAGAGCATTATTCATATAAGTCAAATTAATAACGCTAAACTGCTTCGTAAGTATTCAATAGCGGCTTCGAAACTTTTAACAGGGTCGGCCCTACTATAAACCTTTAATAAAGAGAAATATGGCCAACAAATGTTAACACAACAGATAATTTTTTTTTAGTCCGAACCGTTTGTTTAGTGGTTTGTTTGTTAAAGTTTGAGTGGTCTATGCAAGAGCTGGTTTTGTCTTAGAACGCCCAGTAATTTATGGCCTGGTTATGAAAGCGAGACGCCTCTCAAAAAAACTTTTATAGACAGCCAGAGTCAATGCGTCCAATCATCCACAGTAGTCCTCACTTTTACTGGTCAAGTCCTACCTGAAATCTTATATGTTCTTTTTTTTTATATGGCACTCCCTGTTGAAACTTACCAACTCCCAACAATACAATGTTGCCGCTTCGGCCATGTAAATAAACACTGCAAGATTTTCAACATGAAATTTGATAAGACGGAGACGTTCATAATAAATAGAATAAGACTGGGCTACTAATACTACTAACTGTACTCATGATACATCTGTGTACAAATGTAATATCTTTCCTTTTGGTCCATAATATAAAACTTTAAATGTAAATACCTATCTACTTATATTTTTTACAATCCTGATCCTTTCCAAATTTCGTAATATTTCCGATTCCTTTTTTCCTACTGTTTCCTTAAATTTTTACTTGACATTGGATTGGAAAAAAGTTTCTTTTTACGGGATTTTATCGAGTGCGGTTGGCGTCCCATTTTTTTATTCTAAAATTCGTTTTTTTTTTATTATTATAATGGCTCGCACGGTTTGTGCATTGGCCACGACAGGGTAAAAGGTAAGGAAACCAAAATAATGAAATAAAAAGGTTGTGAAACGGAATTTGGAAGGATTAGGATCAGGTAAGTACGTAAAATTAATTTGAAATGTAAGTAATAGGTCTTTTTAAGTATATAAAAAACATTATATTATTTCTTATAAATTACTTATAATTTTATATTATGTTTAGTCAGGAATTCAGCTTGTTATATATATTATAATTTTTATAATACAATAAGGAAGGAATAGATGTAGGGAGAGGTACATTAAGGGATATTAATGAATCCATAAAAGAGGAGGAATCGTTGAGGGGACACTCGAAGAAGATCTGATTTAAATCCTCTGCTCCAGTACCACAAGCACATATACTATCATTTACTATGCCCAGTTTAGCCAGGTGGGAAGAAGAACAGTTATGACCTAGGCGCATTCTTATGAGACTTGATGTGGCAAACTTACTTAAAAGAATTTTAGAAAACCATGATTTATCGGGAATACATTGCTGAATTAATTTATAATGTTTACCTTTGATGCGACTACTAGTATCCCAATTTTCTTCCCAAGATGCACTTTAGGAAGTAAAAGAAGATCATTTACTAAATTTTTATAGGGAAAGACGTCACCACAATTCACTGAATCTTTAGCGAGTTTATCAGCTACTTCATTGCCAGTGATGTTATGATGGCCAGGTATCCACGCAAAGAGCACATTTAGATTCTTCAAAGTACAATTCAGTAATAATTTCCTACAATCGATCAAATAAGCATTAGAGGAGGAAGCTTTAAAGGGAAATTTTTCTATTGCCTGTAAAGTGCTTTTGGAATCGGAAAAAATAATTGTCTTTTTGAGTTGTGCAAGCAAAATGTATTCTAATGATTTAAGGATTCCATAACATTCTCCTGTGTATACTGAGGTTTCTGGGGGTAATTTAATTTTTTGTGTTATTTTATACTGTTGGTGGTAAACACCGATTCCAACTATCCCAGTAGATGGATGTTTAGATGCGTCACAGTAAATGGAATGCCAGTCTGACCATTCTGTATTAACAATAACTCATTAGATTAATATTAGCATTTTTATCATTACGTAAAGAGTCTAGATAAATTACTTTGGGTGAAATGGTAAGAGCTTCATAATTAATAGAAAAAATAGGAAGATATTGTGATCGGTGGGTGGGTGCTAGCAGTGAAGTAAATTTAATATAGCTGATTACCAAGCAAGGAAGCGACTTGTTATTCCAATATGCCGAATAATTAATTTTACGCAATAAATGGTGAAACTTTTTAAAAAGAGGGTGGTCAGAAAGTTGAAGAGCTCTAAATAGAAATTTATCACATAAAAATTGTCTCCTTAGTTTTAAAGGAGGCTCCACACATTCAATCTGGAGTGCATTAATAGGGCTTGACTTCATGGCGCCAGTTACAATGCGAAGAGCTTTAGACTGGATGCCATCTAACTTACTTAGTGCTAATGCACTACAGGGCTCCAGAAAGCAAGTTCCATAATCAAGGATACTTCTGATAATAGCATTATATATTAACTTTTGTGTTGATAGATGAGCTCCCCACCAAACACCAGATAGGCATCTTAAAATGTTTAATAATTTTTCACATCGAGCTGATACATAATAGCAATGTGATAAACCAGTTAATTTGGAATTTAGAATGATTCCTAGAAATTTAGCTTCATTACACACTGGAATTATGTCATTACCATAATGTGCAGAAAATGATGGGGGTGATCGTATTCTTGTAAATAAGACGGCACAACTTTTAGAAACAGAAAGACTCAGTGAGTTATTATCTAACCATGATTTTAAGAGTGTTAACACATTACTTAAAGATTGACTTAATTCAATAATAGATGATCCGGATACATGAAAAACTAAGTCATCCGCATATTATAAAATGTTAGCTCTGCCTGCGATGTAAGACTCCAAATCATACGTATAGACATTGTACAGTAAAGGGCTCAAAACCGAACCTTGAGGTAGTCCTCTCCATGTCAGCCTAGATTTAAAATTGCCATCTCCCATATCTATTTTTATCAATCTTTCCGAAAGAAGGTTAATAATAAAATCGATCAAAAACAAAGGAACTTCTAGTTTTATAAGTTTTTTTTTAAGATTTGAATGTCCACATTGTCGTAAGCACCAGATATATCAATAAATGCAACAAGAAGGGAATGATTATTTGAGAAGGCTAATCTGATATCAGTGGTGAAAATGCCTATGCTATCCATGGTGCTTTTACTTTTTCGAAAGCCATACTGGCTGGAAGCAAGAAGAGCTTTACTTTCTAAGAACCATTCCAATCTGTTCTTAACTAAGTGTTCTGCTATTTTAGAAAGAACTGAAGCCAGAGCTATAGGTCTATATGAATTAGGATCTGCAGGGGGTTTATTATGTTTCAATAAAGGAATTAATTCCTGACTTTTCCATGATATAGGAATTTCGTTATTAACCATAATAGAGTTGATCACATGTAATAAGTAAACAAGACTGTCGTCACTTAAGTGGGATATGAATGAATAGGGGATTCCATCACTCCCAGGGGCAGAATCTTTTACATAGGACACATGGAGCACCCTCACTAGAGTCCGCATCACACAAATTTTGTTTGGAATCAAAATCGCCAAAGTCGGTGGGGTGCAGCGAGGTCAGCCCAGCTGTGATTGGACGCGTCAAGGTCAGATCATATACTCAGTGCAGCGAAGTGATGAGGGTAAGATCGATTTTAGAAAATATCGATATTTTCTATCGATAAACAATTTAGAATAGAGGCCTAGTACTTTGGTGCGCAAAGGGTCTCTCCACTTTCTTACAGCGTTCTAATTACATGACGCGACTAGTAACTACATATAATTTAATATGTAAGCAAGAACAAAATCGTGGCCGAAACGTGTCCAAAAGGTACATTGGACGATCCACGGAGGTCCGTAAGATGATCGCATGGTCAAAAACAATATAATGCCTTATTTAAACATTGAAAGTCACCTTTAATGCATACGGCATAAGGTCTTAATTAAAATGCATGCGTCAAGTTCGTAAAATTTTACGATTTAGTGTTATATGTGAAAGAATATAGACCTTATTTTTTTTTACTTTTCACGCGCAATTCTGAATGCGCTGTTAACAATATAAGGGCGACGTATAACCGACCATGCATTTGAATATCACAAATATTTTAAATTAAATCAGTTTATAGTAAGTATTACAACAATAAAATTTGCTTTAAAGGCGTTAATTAAAAAACATTAATTAGATACCCGTCGAAAAAACGACACTTTACGTACTATTAGTATTTTTCTGCATTTTTTCACGGAACTCTTTGGCATCTTGACTTTTCAACGGTCCGCGTGTGACTGTGTACTAAGAAGTGCTCGAGTGGAGTTCAAGTACTTCTTGATTGGGACCACAGACTATTTAGATATTGGGACACATTTTGAGCGGTCGTGGTGTATCTAGGGTATTTAATATCGTTAATTCTATGTCTTTATCTAGGTCATAAACTATGCGCACTTAATTTCATACAAATCCGTTTAACCGTTTTAGCGTGAAAGAGTAACAAATATGCATACAAATTTTCGTGTTTTTAAAATTTTACGATTTAGTGTTATATGTGAAAGAATATAGACCTTATTTTTTTTTACTTTTCACGCGCAATTCTGAATGCGCTGTTAACAATATAAGGGCGACGTATAACCGACCATGCATTTGAATATCACAAATATTTTAAATTAAATCAGTTTATAGTAAGTATTACAACAATAAAATTTGCTTTAAAGGCGTTAATTAAAAAACATTAATTAGATACCCGTCGAAAAA